ACGACTTCTAAGTGTGAGGCGAGAGAGGGGGCAGATGTCCTCGGCCTTGGTACTAGGTTTTCTTTAGCTGCTGGCGTAGCTAAGACCCATCTACTCCCACTCCACTCTCTTGCACTAAACAAGAAATCTAGGCCAGCAGATTTCTGAGGAGGAGTGAAGACTTTATACATAGCTCCTCAGAATTATTGCCCTCCTCTCCAACCTCCAGGCAGAGGTTTCATAACTTGGATTTGGGACATCTAAGGCTATCTCTGGTTACATCACATAATATCACAAAATTCTCAGCCAAATTCCTTATGACAGAGAGGAATTTTTAATGGGAAAACTTCTCCAAACCAGGCTTTGTCAGCCAGTAGTTTGAAGACATTGGTAAAAGTAGTTATTTTTAAGAGAAAGTTCTTACTACCGGTTAGCTCTGATTAGGAAAAGAGTGAGCTTCAGAAACTAACTTACAAAGACCACTTTGTGCCAAGACTTTTAGTATGTGAAATAATTGCCTTTAAGCTTGTTCATTCCTGCATCTATCTCCCCTTGCTAAGAAGTTACTCCTATACACATCTTCATTTATCTGTGGCACAAACTAGCTATGAATCTTAGACGAACTATATTTGTGCCAGGTTCTCAGCAGCTCTGCGGAAAAAAAGATGGGCACTCTCCTCCTGTGCAACAGCTTCTGAAACCTACTTGGCGGTCAATTCCACCTCAACAGCAATGAGTCATTTTAAGCTTTGTTTTCATACGATTACAAAAATCATGTGTGTGTTTTCTACTTCCCAATAAGAAATAAAATCTTTGGAAACCAGATAAGCAATAGAATGAAACCCCACAAGACTGGAAATCCTTTCCTTAAATGATGGCCTTAACTGTGAGGATTATTCACATCTCCTTTAACAATGTTATTAACCAAAGACAATACTGTTTCATCTACTCATGATTGACTGTTCAACATGTTGCATTTTACAGCATCCGATGCTATTCAGTCTGGATGAAACTTCGTGAGCTAAATCCAGGATAAAATGGACAGAATTCTTGGCTTCCCTTTCCACAAAGTCTATGGGTCTAAAACAAGCTGAGCAAAGAGTGCCATCTGCAGGATTCCTGTTTCCAAAAGAAATCCTTTTGCAAAACTGTTGGGGACCCTGGTTGCCAACAATTCTAGATAGCCACCCAGGAAGACGTGACAGAGCAGTCCTGAGAAAACGCAGTGATCCTTGGAGGTAAGAATGATGCTGCTTCATCTCACATACATTGGGCATATTGTGAGGAGGGTCTATTCCATGGAAAGGGACATCATGCTTAGAAAGGTGGTGGGGGGGGTAGCAAAAAAGAGGAAAACCTCAAACGAGAGGGACTAGCACAGTGACTGACACTATGGGTTTAAGAATGAGATAGCAAGAAGCTGCACTACAATCGCAGAGGTACTCAGTTCGAATCCACCAGATGCTGTGCTGGAAAAGAAGGGGGCAATCTCCTCCTGTACCAGTCAGATCTGATTTGACGGCACACACAAACAAAATAAAAAAAAAAAAATTTAAAAAAAAAGAACATCAGAGATAAAGATGTCACAGCAAAGTTCAGGTCTGTTGTTCAAAGGGTCATTATGAGCTGTACTACATAGCATCAGACAACACAGAAAGAGGTGGAACTATCAAATCTTCATGGATTGAAGCTGTTTGCAGAGGAGTTGATATTAAAAACCAGTAATACTGATTATAATTGTTAAAAAACAAAACGTGTATGAATGATGGAAAATCAATTAAGAATAAACTCTTTTTGTGACAATCCTGGGTAACTAACTCCTGCTTGAATTTCATTTGGAAAATGGTTTCTTCTACTTAGCTTATAGAGCCACTGAATGAGTCAAGTTTCTTTGAATTAACTTATCCCATAATCTACATGCTTGAGGTTCTATGGCCTGTCCTGTTCAGGTATACAGTCAGAACAGGTAACCTCACAGTACTTGTTAAGAATTGCCAGATTCAGCTCCCATGTGCTCAGATGACTCACCGTAATCAGGTGAGTGTCCACTAAATCATTAACCATCAATGACCTGCTCAGTGTGCTATGCCATAAAGACTAGGTGCCATGGGGGTTTAATCCCAATGGATTGAAATTGCACAGCCTAACACCAACCATAATGCTGTTTTCTAATTATGAAGGGGGAAAGGAGTGCATAGCATTCTTTTCACTTAGAAGAGTTCCCTCCTCCAAACTGCTCTCTGCCAAGCTATAGGAACAGCTTCTATGAACAGAAGAAACTGGATTTTAAATCCTGTGATGCATTTTTTTTCAGGCCTTACTCCCTCATGCTTTCAAATGCTAAGAATGCTCCCTGAAATGAATTCCCCGGGACACATTTCCTCAGTGAAGATGGTTCCTTCTTCCACTAAGACAGACTTCTTTGTGCTCAATAAAGCAGTAGGTTCTATTATGTTCCTGAGTTCTCATAGCACATGCTGCATATGTTGTTGTTGTCGTCAGTTGCTGTCAAGTCGAATCGACTCAGACAGGTCATTAATCACAACCAACTTGTTATAAATGAAAGTCTCCTCCTTTCTTTTTGGTTATCCTTTTACATGTTGTTATGTATCCTAAAGTCAGAACTGACCCACAGTGGACCCTCCAGCGGGTTTTCAGAGGCAGTTACTCGCACAGGAGGAGGGGAGGCGATTGCCCATCCTTCTCCAGCGGAGCAGCTGGTGGCCTCGAACCGCGTGCCTTCGGAGTTGCAGTGAAACTTCTTGCCATCAGGCCACCTGAGCTCCCTATCTGATTACATAGGAAAAGAAAAATCAAACCACCAGAAAAACTTAACTTCAGGGGCTGAACAGAACTAGAGAGTAAAGACAAGAGAACACTTAGATGCAAAAGGAAAACCCATTTTTTTTCTGTGTATGTGATTGGAAGTTGAGGGCTGAGGCAGCAATGCCCTTCCACTGAACTATCCTTCAGGTATCATCTGCCTCAAAACCACCGAAAGGTCGTACCCCACACCCTCTATTCAAAAAGAAGAAGCTATTTTAGTATGAGAGGATGTGTATGACTCAGCATCCTAGAGCCACCCCTAGGATAACTTGAACATATAGAACCTATATTTTCTAAGGTTGTGAAGTTAAAAAAAAAAACCCAAAAAAACCAACCCTAAACACACCCAAAATTGAGCTAAAGGACATGATGACTTACAATAACTAAAGGAACAAGCTTTAGAGTTCCCAGTCAACACCTCATGGCACATATGTTCTAGGACGACATTGGTCATTTAAAACAGTTCCCCTTTGACCAGGTGTGGAAATAGGGGAGCTTAGAAAGGGTTAATACTCAGGAAAAAAAACTGGTGAAAGAGAAAAGTAGGTAAAAAATGTATATGCAGCATTTAGGAGTCCTAAAAACTCTGGACAATTATCAGGTGGTTGCACCACACTAACACTAAGACCTTGAGGTTCTGGTGGAAGAATGTGATTCTGTGGCAGACGAGTGGTTTCCTCCCATTAAGATTTACAGCCTCAGAAATCAAATGGAGGGTGGTTGTGTGTTGGAATCAGTTTGACAGCAGTGAGTTTGAGGAGATGAGTATTCTGTGGGGTTCTTAACTTCAAGAAATAGCATGAAAGACATTCAGATGGCAAACACACACATGAAAAAATGTTCAGAATCCCTAGCTATCAGAGAGATGCAAATCAAAACAACTATATCCTCTCACCCCAGCAACAATAGCAGAGTTCAAAAGAGCAGCAAATAACAATTGCTGGCGAGGCTGTGGAGAGATTGGAACCCTTATTCATTGTTGGTGGGAGTGCAAAGTAGCCCAGCCACTATGGAAGGCAGTCTGGTGCTTTCTCAAAGAGGTGGAAACAGAAATACCATTTGACCCAGCAATTCTACTACTAAAGAAACCAGAGCCACAACCCAAATAGATACATGCACACTCATATTTATTGCTGTGCTGTTCACAATATCAAAGTGATGGGAGCAGCCCAAGTGCCCATCAACAAATGAATGGATAGAAAAACTATTCACACAATTTGGAATATTATGCAGCACTGAAAAACAAGGAACTCATAAAACATTACACAACATGGGTGACCCTGGAGGACATTATGCTGCATGAAATATCTTAGTCACAAAAGGACAAATACTGCATAACATCACTGTTATAAAACAGGACTGACATGGTAGGTTGGGAGGAAATTAGGAAAAGAGAAGACAGATAATAAACACTGCATTGGAACAGATGAAGAAAAGAACTGTTGAAAAGGAATACATGACTAGGTATCATTTGTATGACAACAGTCCAGAATAAGAGGTGCATAGCAAGGTGGACTGGGGAGGGGTGAGGGTGAGGGAGGACATTGTGCAAAAATGAATGCCTATTTTTTTAAAAAAACATGAACTAGAAGAGGAGAAGGGAGGAAAACGGGAAATAATAAATGAAACAAATCTAACTTTTCTATAAACTTTTGTTAAAATCACAATTAAAAAACAAAAAATAGCATGAAAGAAAGTGTTGGACTCTCTTGTCAAAGTTCCCATGTTATTAAAGACACTCATCCGTTAGCTCTGAAAAACACTGTTTATTAGAAAGAAGTTTTACAGGAAGTCTCTTTGATTCCTGCAAGGACAAATATAGTGCTCCTATATCCTAAAAAATATCTCCTATTTGCTCACAAATTCTTTACCCTTGACTCTTGAAATATCCTGGATTCCTTGGTCCAAAGCCAGGGCCTACATTTTACAGGGTGTAAAGTCCCCATAGAGCCCGAGAAGTAGCCAGAAAGGGGGGTAACCAGAAAGTCAACACATTGAGGTGCTTTACTCCACATCTTAACATTCAGTTCGTCAATAAAGCCTCATGCAGGCCAGGAGGTAAAGTGTTCTAATATAAAGTCAAACTTCCAGAACACATTGGTTAGCCAAAACCAATGAGTGATTTCAAGAAGTCTTTAAAGGAGCAATTATGCTGAGAGAGGGGTCCCTAAGGTTGAGGGCGGGCTTTCTCAGAGTTATTTAATCTTAGCGAGGGCAGCTGCTCTTCTTTCTGTGTTCTGGAACAAGGAACGAATTAAAGCTTTTACTTCACTAGAGGAGAACGCAGCTGCTAGGGGTCCTTTTCCATCTGCCCACCTGCAAAAAAAAAAAAAAGATTACATTTTATATTTCCTATTATGTGTCTGTAATATATGCAAGACTTAAAAATTACTTATGTCATCTCAAACGTCTGCTTTAAATGGCAGTTAAAGTCAAGGCATCCTAGTTCCTCATGGGCCTCCCTTCAGTCACCTGGACATCTTCTGCTTACTGGCTGCACTGATGTCAGTCCAGACAGTCACTGTCAGGTACCATCAAGTCAACTAATACTCACAGTAATCCTAGGAACAACAAAGCTGAACCGTGCCCTTTCTTGTGCCATTCTCATCATCTCCTCTAGCACGCCCAACTTCACTGATACAGTTACTGCGTTAATCCACCTTGTTGAGGGTCTTCCTCACAGACATATGAGGAACTGTTCTCCCTCATTCTATTTCACTAAGCCATGGCTTAATAATTATGATCAAACTGTCATGCCTTGAGGCCAACTACTATTAGAAATACTGACCACAGGCAACATGTAACTGACAAAGGACTAGTATATAAAACACATACAGAACTCCCATAAGTCATTAATATTAAATATCAAATAACTCAGTAGAATAAGAAGAAAACAATACAAACATATTTTACAAAATGATCAATGAAAAGATGCTCAACCTCATTAAAGTTTGAAGTAATAGAAGTTAAAATGACAAAAAGCTATCATTTCACACAAACTCATCAGGAAACATTCTAGGCTGATAATACAAAATACTGGTGAGAATGTAATGCAACAGGATAAATAAGCAAAGAAATATATGCACAAGGGACTACTATAGAGCAGTGAAAATGAACGGCATCTACACAAATGACTAAAAATTAATTTCATTAAAAGCAGCAAGTTTTAAGTGTTCACTTACAGAATGTTCAAAAACACACAAGTCTACACTTTCTAATCAGGGGCATGTAAGTGTATTATCATATAGACAGTTAAATTCAAATAAGATAAAATTACAAAGAAGATGCAGTAAATAACAAAAAGGCAAGAGTGGTATTTACCCCTGATCACGAGCATCTGGTGAGGGATATATATGGATCTTCAAGGCAGTAGCATTTTTCTTAAGCTAGTGTATACTATTTATATTACGCTTAAAATGTTTAAACTCTATACTTGAGGTCATTTTTTAATAAAATATTTTCAATTTATTTACTTATAGTTACTGAAATTTTGGGAGGAGAGGGTAAAGAATCTTCCTCAGGCGAAAAAGAGAAGTGAGGACATACTATCTTTATAAATTTTTCAGATCATTCTCAGACTGCTAGACACTTTAATATCAACGGGGTGGGGGTGGATGGGAAGCTTTATCTACAGCTCTGAGGGAGTTCTGGCCTAGTGGTAAGAAGCTGTGCTGCAATCCCAAGGCACACAGATGAATCCACCAGATGCTCTGTAGCAGGGTGGGCAATCTCCTGGGTGATTAACTGCATAGGAAAACCCACCGGAGGAGTCAACTATGGGTCTGTTCTGCCTTGATGGCAAACAACAAGAACTTATAAACAGTTTATTAATAAATCAAAATTTTGTACTACACGCCATTAGAGACACTGCAATGTGAATTTCTTTCCCCCAGGTAGAATCTCATTTGCATGGTTTTAAAATGAACACTATCTGATGAGAAGGGAGCTCTGGTGGTCTAGAGGCAAGCAAGAAGCTGCACTGCAATCCTGAAAGCACATGCTTCGAGGCCACCAGCCACTCCATGGGGGCAGGATGGGCAATCTCTTTGCCATTAACTACCTCTGAAAACCCGCCAGAGGGTCGGCTATGGGTCGGTTCTGACTTGAGGGTACACAACATCTGATGAGAACCATTCAAACTAGGCTGACCTGACATGGCTATTACAGTTGGGCATCAGAGGTAAACTAAGCAGGTAGACAAGTTACTTGGGAGATGGGCCTTAACTGCCTATTCAAAATAAAATCCATTTTTCCCAGGCTCAGAGTGAGGATGTGTTCCCTATACAAAGTACATGTACTCATCAAATATCTACCAATACAAAAATGAAAGCATACGGATCTGAGACCATAGCCTGCACCATGAGCCTCCTCAACAAGCTCAAGAGTGAGATGACCCCGGAGGAGCTGCAGTAGCGAGAGGAGGAGGAGTTTAACACAGGCTGCCAAGCTCATGTAATTGGTCAAGAACAACACGCAAGTGCTCATCAACTGTCGCAAAAACAAGAAGCTCCCGGGCGATGTGAAGGCCTTCAACAGGCACTGCAACATAGTGCTGGAGAACGTAAAGGAGATGTGGACTGAGGTTCCCAAGAGTGGCAAAGTCAAGAAGTCCAAGCCCGTCAACAAGGACCGCTGTATCTCTAAGATATTCCTGCATGGGGACTCAGTCATGGTGGTCATAAGGAACCCCCTCATCTCCGGCAATTAGGGCCTCCGCTGCCTCTACAGCCCTGCCCCACAGCCACATCCCGCCGCCCCTGGAAGACCTGCCCATATTGGGAATAATAAAGTCCCTGTATGGTTTTTTTCTACTTACAAAAGCATACACGGGTGTGTGACTAACTCCCATCTCCTCTGTTTTGTGCAGGATCAGTGACTTCCTGCTGCTCAGTGTGGTACGATACAACATACACTGATTGCGCACAATAATATCAACTGAAAATGCTAGGATAAAGCATCATCCACTGTATTTTCAAAAAGAATCCTTTCCAGTGAATAATGCTTAACTCTCTAAAGCCATTCAATCTTTGTAGAAAAATCGCTGGCCTAACAATGACAGAGGGGGAAAACTTTCTATTGACACAATTAACTTCTCTACTCATAGGTGCCCAAAAAGTGGGCAAGAATTTATATCCAGGGGTGAGCAAGCTGTACTTCTAACAATGCAAGACCATTTTCTCGACATGCCAAACAGGTTCAAGGCCAAAGTCATATGAAACAAGTCTTGATACTGTCAAACATGAGAAACTGGCAATGAGGTCCTCACTTTGGCAGACCATGTGAAGGCACCAACTATTTAAGAAACTTCTTCCCAGGTTATATGAAATAAATGAGAAAAACATAGCTACCAACAGTAGAATTCACCTCTCTGTGCAGAGGACAGTTGTGCAGAGATGTGCACCTCCATAAAAGGGTTTGATACATACCGATCCCCAATTTCTTGCAGGCTGGCTTGTAGCATCATCATCAGTTCTTTGAAAGACATCCATTTTGGCACATACACTGGAACCTCTTCTTGGTATTTCTTATTCATATTTTCTTCAGAGAGAGGTGCAAACACTTGGGGTCCTTCATCCATCACTGTTTTGCATAAGGAGTACAATCTATCACCATCTTCAGTAGAGATATCCTGGTTTTGCACAAAAAGAACACAGAAGAGAAATGGCCCAGCATAGTGGTAGAAAAAGGGGAACCTCTCATGCATGCTGTCCAGGTGGGTCATCTAAGGCAATATGCTTTCCAAACAATCTGGCACACTCTTCTAGGCAGTGAATTTCATTATGAGCTCTTTGACTACACTCTAAAAACTAAAATGACACAAAATGTGTTCTAACAGATTGTCAATAATTTGGTTTGGCTGCATGAAAGAACCAGTATCTCTGGTCAAATATGGCACAGCTTGCTGCAGAGGAGGGAATGTTATGACAAAGGTTTAGGCAACACAGGCTTCAAAGGGATCAGCTGGCACCACCCAGGCAATTTTCCCATAAGATCACACATAGGATCTCAGCTAAAACAGTGTGTCAGGAAGGGAGAACATGCAAAAGGCTACGTTCACTTTGCCCAAATACTGCATTCACTTGCAAATCAAATTTGCATAATTTCTTCATAATTTCTAACACATCTCAAGACCACATCTCAGTTTCCAACCTTTTCATAATTAACAAAGTTGGGCAGCTAAGAAACAGGACATTTTGCTATAGAGTTAAAGAGACAGAAAAGTTTACAGCAAAATAGAAATTAAAACAAAACTGAAAAAAGTAAACAACATGGTAAGTTATGCATGAAATATGCATAACTTCTACCAAGTAAGTGCTTTAAATAAAAGCCAGACTTTACTTTCTAAGTAAGAAAGTCTGGGACAAGAATTGCATTATGAAGTCAGGCGAAAGAGCCAACAGTCCCTTACCTCTAGTGCAGTGATTCTGCCAATGATCTCAGAAACTGCTGTGTTGAGTAAAGTCCCCATGGCCTTGCAATATATATTCACTGGCAAGACATCCTGCCACACAATTCCAAGCCTCTTCAGTTGGTGCAGTACCTATCACAAGAATGCGGATGTTTACATGGAAAAGGGACTGTATAACCTGTATATTTTAGATTTACATTTAACACTTGCAAATTGAGGGAAGACGTATCATGTAATCTAAAATAAGTAATCAAGATTATATGTTTCTTGAATATCTAACCTTAGTGATACAATAATAGCTAAAAACAAGACTCTTCCTCTGAATAGAAAAATGGTAGTGAAAAGATAAAATGCTTAAGAGACAACATGCAGCTCAGGTGGCGTGGTCCATAGATGGTTTTGCTCTTAACTAAGAGAAAGGCATTAAGATGAAAACCAGTACTTCCAATTTCTCAACTGATGTTCAAGAGCAAATTATTTGCAATGACAAACCCAGCAGATATTTAGTAACACTATTTGCTCGATGGAAACACTTACTGAGGAAGGGAAAAGAACAGGCTGAAACACAATTATAAAAGAAATCCAGATTTCCAGTGGAGGTTATGAGGAATCACCTGAGCTACCTTTTACATATTCTTTGCTTTTTAAAGGGGCACCTTGAGTACCAATTCCAGAGCGAATAACAGCCTCCTACCTGCCGAATTGCTTTGTTTGCTGCAGAGTAATTCTCTTCATCGTCCATGTTTAAAAAGTTCCGAGCACTTGATAATCTCTCCAAAAGTTCTCCTTTCTGTGCTCGCATCTGGGCCAAAAAACATTCTGTCCCTGTGATGGGAGAACAAAATGAAGAATGCTAAAAACTGCTCAATCGCACAATGTAAAACCAAAAGGGAAGAGGACAGACAACAGCTCGATAACATCACAGAGCTGCCCTTCGGTCCTCACACAATCCCTTCTGATACCTTCACTGGTCCCTCCAACCCCTCTCGCAGGATAATAAATAACTCTTTCCTAGAATCAGCTAAAAAAATTTCTTTTCTAGAAGAAGCTGCTTCTTATCCTAATATATCCACACCGCTTAAGGGGAAAAATGAGGAAGAGAAAAGCGGAGTGAATCGTACAGATCCTCTGCTTGTTTAGGCTATCATTACAGTAAACACATTGATTTACTCCGTAGTCCACTTCTTTTGATTTTTAATAATCCCAAGGAAATCGGGGAGAGGAGAATGCTGTCTTGGGCTTTTTTAAAAGAACAAACATCATTAATGATGTGCCCTTGCCAAAAATGCTAACAGAGCTGCCACAATACAGATCTTATTATATGTTTCCCCACTAGCATAACTCCGATCTCGTGACATACCGGCAATGAGTCTGGAACTCTACTGTACCATGAAATCATGTCATGAAAAAGTAATGTTTCCTAAAAGACTGCATTCAAATTATCAAATTAACCACTGGGAACACATGCAAACTAAATGCCCTTCCCCTCTTTGATGCCACTCGGTACCACCAAATTCCTCATCTCATTTATAAATCACATAGACACTAGGATGAGAGACTACATAGTTGACAATTTGCTTAAAAATATAAGTTACCAAGCCTCCTGAAGCCAGGTACAAGATCCACAAAAGTAGCAGTGCCATCACAAAGAATGGGGGCGAGGCGTAAAGTGAACTGATGCCCGAGCGTCAGCAAGTGGTGAGCGATGTACATACAGTTGTTGTGGTGAATTGCAGCCAACTGGGGCAGTTTCTGAAGGTTCTCCCTAAGTTAGTGCAACAGGAAGGAAAAGGAAAGAAACTACCTGTTATTGAAGTTGGAATTAACAAAATGGTACTATTCTTCTAATGTATTTCTAGGCTTAATAATTATATACTGCATAAACTATAATAAGATAAAATCTCATCACTCCCACTCTCATTCAATCATAGTCAGCTTGTTTTGCCTAAAAATAGCCTTACCCCATAAGGCTATAAAACTATCTCAGTGAGTAACAAAAAAGAAAAGAAGAATTAAGATATTTACCAAAGCACAGTTGTAGAAATTATCACTTTTAAATTTAAGTCTATAGAAATCCACACTTATTTCCCCTTTCTTCACATTCCAATTCCACTTATATTGTGAAGTACTTGATTATTCTCAAATTCACTCATTTTCAATGCTCACTACAGATTAGTCATGGGCTTTGCCCCAAACAAATCAATCACAACATCTGGGAATTTACAGGTTTCGTGGTGTGTGTTATTTTAAATCATCACAAGTGATTTTTATTCACATTCAAGATTAAAATCACCACTCTAATCCTTTACACATAAATCTATCTAATCTACTTTGAAAGATCTTATATTTTTATTATATACACACCAGCAGGAAACCAATTAATACTTTCCAGTTTGCTGGTTCAATGTCAGGCGAGGACATAAACAGTCTGGAACCAGAACTATAAGACAACTGTCCTCATTTTGGGCTAAATCATCTGTAGGGCTTAAAAAAATAAAAAATGCCTGGGTCATAGCACATCTCTATGCCAAAATCTCTAGGGGTAGCTATGTTCCTGGCAAAGATATGTAATTTTCAAGCTCTGTATGTGATTCTGATACACAGCCCAAAGTTGAGAACCATAGTCTAGGGCAGTGTTTCTCAAAGTGTGGTCTCTTGTCAAGAAACATCAGCATCACTCAACTTGTTAAAAATATGGGCACCATCCCAATCAGAAACTTTGGGTGGAAGATGCAGCAATGTGTTTTTAAAAAGCTTCCAAGTGATTCTAATGTGCACTAAAGTTGTGAACCAGTAGTTCAGGACATGGTGCAGAGTTCACACAAAAGGGGAGAGAGAGACAAATCTACTCCGCACCAGTGTGAAAAAAAAATCCCAAGGCCACAGCAACTCCTAAGCCAACCATCTCTGAATCTCCAAAGGCACAGATGTCAACCGACCCAAGTATGTTACTGTCATTTCCTTTACATGACTTAGAAAGGGAAATGGGAATTTTAACCATGGCAAGAGAATACAAACAAAAAAATATCAACGTTCATAATAAATAAGATCTTTTATGACAAAAACAACAGGTAAGCTTAGTTAAAAACACCTTAACTGTTAAAAATTCTAAGTTAAAACAGACTTCAAATAATAAACTAGGGGTGTGGTCACCCCTTTTTTTTTCCTTTGCAGAGTGTTTGGCAATGGGATAACTCTGTAGGCATATCATTAAGGCATTTCTAAAACCCATCCTTAGGATGACAGAAAGAACTCCTAGAAGCTTAAAGTTCAAATAACTTTTCCACTTGTATTAAAGGAAACTTTTAAAATTGCAAGACATTAGATAAATACAGCCTATAAAAGCTAGGAAGAGCAGCTGATAATACTTGACAGTTAAATAGCAACTTCTTATGGAATTAAGTTTGCAGAATTATAAATGCCAAAGAAGAACGTAGTATGTTCACTACACAGTGTATGGAGAGATGGTAAAACACCTAGCATCAAAAAACAGTAAGGTCTTTTAAAGTTTTTAAAATTGCTTCACCCACTACACTGTAAGATCAAAGTACTCATATTAATTTATTAATAAATTACAAAGTTCTTAAAATGTGTGCTTTAAACTGGTTTACTACATTATATTATAGTGTTTTAATTGTAGGATTTTAATAACCAAGATGTCTTTGGTAGAGATTTAAAATTATGGATTTAAGCTTGACTTACAAACTCTTTTAATTTCCATTCATTCATTTTTGCACTTTCCTCCCTGCCCACTGCTTCCCTCCAATTTACTTTTCTCTTTTAAAAAAAATGTCATTGTTATACAATCCCACCCACCCCAAAAGTCTACTCCACTATGCAGCTTCCGTTCTGGACTCTTGTCATAACAAGAATACCTAATCATGTATTCCTCCTAAACAGTTCTCTCCCTCATCTGTTTCAATGCAGTATACGTAACTTATCCCCTCTTAGATTCCCCCAACCTCGATGTCAGTCCTATTTTACAAGAGTGGCACTATGCAGTATTTGTCCTTTTGTGACTGAGATATTTCACTCAGCATAATGTCCTCCATTTTGTATATTTCAGGAGTTCCTTGTGTTTCAATGCAGCATAGTGTTATATTGTATGAATATACCACTGTTTGTTGATGGGCACCTGGGTTATTTCCAACTCTTTGCTATTATGAACAAAGTTGCAATAAACATGGGTGTTAGACATACAGTTATGCAGAAATGAGATGTGGTGGCACTTACTTGTGATATGTTGGTACAACATCATGGAACAAATGGAAGATATTCCTTACTGAGTAGAAGAGCTGAACTGCACTAAGAGAAAAACAGATTAAACAGAAATGCATAACATATTTAAAACTAAAAGAACCAGCCACTTTAAATGCAGTTTAATAAGCTAAACTACAGGTGCAGAGAATGGCTGCCTTGGTTGCTGCTGGACGACAGTAATCTAGATGGAAATCTACTCTCTAACTAGCCCACCTAAAAACCCAGGTCCATTAATAATTTAAGAGCAGAGGCACTCAAAGCCTTTACTTTTTTTTTTGATTTATCAGTGTGTGTTCCACCAGCACCACATATCCCTTTAGTAACAAATGAGCTAAGCCTGAAGCAAATGTCACCTACTCACTGGCATGCTCTGCAAAGGGCACCGCATCAAGACAGGCATTCACTTAGTTCTTCTAAAATCAGTCTGACTTTCCGTTTTCACCTTTTCTCCTTTTTACCCCAATGAAGGGAGAAGAATCAACATTTCTAGGATAGAATCTAGCCCTCAAGTTTTTTGCCCTTTAAATCTGACTTCAGAACACATAAAGATTACAGATTATTAAAATGCACTTAAAAAGAGTAAATACAAGGCTTGTGTAGCCAACTCCTATGTAAAAATATCTTCAACTGGGTACACTGAATAATTCACTGGCATTTCAGAAATATTTAGAAAAATAAGTCATAGTTACTATACTCCAAGCCACTGTGACTACTGGATTACTATAATGCTTAAGTATTTCTTCTATTTCCACAATATATATTGCTGTTTAAGGTTTGATAATAGAGAAGGGGACTGAAACACAGTTGTATTTCTAACTATCCAGTTAAAAACTCGTTCAGTGCAAAGAATCACCATAGGCTTTCAACACACATCGGGTCACTATGAGTCATATTCGACTCGACGGCACTTAACAACAACAACTACAATTAAAGGAAGCTCTGGTGACTTACTGGTAAGGAGTTGCACTGGCCAATCTCCTCCCATGTGATTTACAGCCTCGAAAAAACTCATTGCAGAGTCAGTTTTGCACCGGTTCCCACTCAACAACAAACAATGATAACAAAAAGGGAACCCTGGTAGCATAGTGAATTAAGCTTTGGACTACTAAGCCACACATCAGCAGCTCAAACCCAACAGTCATTCCTTGGGACAAAGAGGAGACAGTCTGTTCCCATAAGGATTTACAGCCTCGGAAACACTACGGGGCGGTTCTACTCCTTCCTAGGGAGCACTATAAATGAGGACAGTGGGATTAGCTTTGGGCTCTTCTAACAAATAAGCCTAGAAGATTTATAAAAATGAATGATTGTCACATGAAGTCTTGGAAGATCAGTGCTTTGTGGAGCTGAATGAAATGAAAGGGTTTATTTGCCATGTAGGGGTAAAAAAACTGAAGCTATGGAAACCCATCTGAACATTCAATATGATTAAGTCAAACCTAACTGACACTATGTACACTATGATGTCCACTATGATGTGTACTATGATGTACACTATGAGGACACAAAAGAAAAGAACTCCTACAAAGTTCTGCAAACGGAAGAGGCAGAGACACAAACCTGCTCTATAATCAGCTTGAGCCACAGTCTACCTACCTACCACTGCCTTCTCAATGTTGTCTAGGAACAGGGAAGTTGCTTATTAAACGAAAACCAGATTGAGTATGAGATGTGGAACAGAATTTAAGGCACCCAGATACAATGTAAATTAGAAGAAATCATCTTGGGAAGGTAAAGCTAGAGCTTCTCTATGTTATATCCTGTTCCTTGTTTCTGGCTGCCCAACAGATTACTGCTAAAAAAACAACCCACATAAAACGTCAATTAATTAGAATCTAGATTTCAAAACACTGATAGACTCTTAGACTAAAGAGTTAGATTAAGCAGTAACTGATGGTCCAACTAATAACTGTTATCAGCCAAAAATAACAATAAACACTTGAGTTCTAATCACTTCTCCAGTAGTATGGTAGCACTCCATTATGTGCTTTCTCAATGAAAAAAAAAAAGGAAATACTAAACAGAAAATAATTTTTTCTAAAAAGTGGTTAACCATTTTTCATGTCAAAAAACCCTTTCTATCCATCCATGCCTCTGCTTCTATTTCTCAGACCCTGCTCCAACATGTATATGCTGTTACTATAAATAAAAAAGACCAACACAAATTTGTTTACTATATTTTTTTCTAGGGGACATAAAGGAGACTAATGGGATAAAAAACCCGAAGATTTCCAGCTAGTTTGCTCATTAAATGTCTAGCTTAGGCAGGCACTTAACAAAGTCACTGTTATTTCAGACCACTCAGAATTCCTACCATTGATCACTACTCGTTGTTGCTTCAAGTAAAGTCTGATAGGCGAGTTCCATTAGTTTCTGCACAGATTCACTGATGCGGCACGTTGGCATAGAAAATGAGTGTTGGTCTAGCGGATTTTCAGGCTTTAATTTTCCAGCTTCATCGTATGGAACTTTTGACACTTTCTGTACCTTTTCATCATCCTCAGTACAGGGTAAGTCTGGCAGGTTTATCTTAGCATCAGGAGTAATCTATGATTCAAACATAGGAACACATGATCTTTAGGATAATTCAATGCAAGCCCACAGGACTAAAATACTGTTTGTACCCATGATGACTGAGCTGTAGCTCTAGAGAGTAATTTAAAAATCGAAGCAAATCTGGCATTTTAATGACTGTTTGAGCTCAAGTAAAAGCATTAAAAATAAGCAATCCCGTCTCATTTTAATTCCTGTGCAATTATTCAAATCACTTTTTTTTTCTTGTTGTGTGCCATCAAGTCAGAGCTGACTGGCACAGGAAAAGGCTGCCCATCTTCCTCCAGCAGAGCATCTGGCGGATTCAAACCACGTGCCTTCAGGATTGCAGCGCAACTTACTGCCACTCACCCACCAGAGCTCCCTTCAAATCACTCTTAATTTTCATTAAAATAGCAAAACTGTGAAATAGGCCTGAGAATTCTGGCAAGGGAAAGGGTCTATGAAATGAAGAATTTTATTTTTCTGACAAAACCATTACAGTCCAATATACAAAATCAATATACAATATACAAAATCTCCCTCAAATGAAAGAAAAAAGAGCCTCCCTAACATGAGATCAAAATACCACAGGCAAAAGATCTGGTTGCTGTACAACACACACACGGCTTTGGTTTATGATGGTGATTATGAAATCATTTTGAAATGGGTCAAACAGATAGAACGCAGATAAGATAGCAGGTTCTCACTTCTACCACAAGAAGAGAGGTTCTGCTGTGCACATACTACAAAGCTAAAGAAAATTTAGGACGGAAAAAGTTCTAAGGCTAATAAAAATGCAGATGTTACCAACCTTGACTTCCCCATCTTAGTTTTAAGAATATCTACCTACTTCATAGGCTGTTACAAAGCAGCTTTTAAAATTCAGACAATGTTGTAGGTCTAATTCTAGGAGTCTCTGAGTGGTGCTAATGGGTTAACATGCTCAGCCGCTGACCATGAGGTTGATGGTTCATGTCTACAAAAGGACATCTCAGAAGAAAGGCTTGGCAAGCTATTAAAAAACAAAACCAAAAACCAGCCACTGAAAATCCCATGAGGCACAGTTCTATTCTGATATCCACAAGGTCAATTCCAGGTTCTAAACGGCAAGAGAAAAAAACTGGGCAAGAATCTAGAATAGTGGTTCTCAATGAAGGAAAATTTGCCATCCAGGAGCATTTGGCAATGTTTGGAGACATTTTCATTGTTATAAATGAGAGAAGTGTTCCTGGCACCTAGTGGAGAAAGCTCATGGATGCTGTTAAACTTCCTGCAGTATACAGCCTACCCAGCAAAGAATTAGTTAGCCTGAAATTTCCACAGTGTTGACAAACCCTGACTGACAGGAGACTACATGAGGATTTGGGTACTTGAGAGAAACAGTTTACAGAATGTCGGAATTACTACAGAGCTCAGAAATTATCTAGTTCAATTCTCTCACAATACAGAAGATAAAAATGAGGTCCAGAAAAGTTAAAAGGCTTAGCTTGGTCATGGAGCAACTCAGTAATAACCCTATTCACTTCAAAGGGTTGTAACAGAAATAAATGAGATAAAAAGTAACTGACTTATCAAATATTTATTGAGCTCTTGTGTACTGAATATATGTATGTATCAGGCACTTCCTTGGTTCTAGAGATACAACAGAAACAAGAGTCAAAAATCCCTCCCTCATAGAGTTATTGTCTAGAGAGGATCAAACAGGCATAAATAATTCATATTGAAAGATAATTGATGATCCATGATGTGAAGAAAAATAAAGCAAGGAAAGGATGCAGAAAGTAGAAGTTCATAATTTTTAAAAATCACAAGAAGGAAATTATGTGGTCATCCACAGTGAGAATATTTTAACAAACATAACAAGGCTTGGCAACAAAGTGAGCCTAAAAAAAGTCAGGGGTCAGAATAGTCCAAGGCAATGAAGCAGCTGACTGAACAAGAATGGAGTAGGAGGTGGAGTGAGGAGAACAGTGGGGAAGGGGCGGATGGGTCACAGAATGCTGTCTTGCCACTGTAATGCTTTTTAGGGTACAAGTTGAAATGAATGGGAAACCACTGTATTTTGAATAGAGAAGTGATTATAAAAGTATTTGTGTTTAAATAACACAAAATAAGCAGTTTCTATATTCGGTATTGAATGGATATCAGTTCTCTCAGCAATCCAAAATTACCTCAAAATACGTTCCTATATGTGCACCTCAAAAGGTTAATTATTTTACTCAAGTGGACATGATAACAGAATACCTCAAAAGAAAAAGAGGGATGAGAAAGAAAATGACTAAGGTAAGCCTTCCTCCAAATTACTGAGGAGTAAAGACATCAGTTTCACAACTAAGGTGCATCTGATTTAGGCCACAGTTTTCCCAATCATTTACTATGCATCTGAGAGCTGGACAGTGAATAGGGATGAGAGAAGAACTGATGCCTTTCAGCTGTGATGTTGGAGAAGAGCATGGACCATACCATGGACAGCCAAAAGTATGAACAAATATGTCTTAGAAAGGCTCTTTGGAGGCAAAGATGATGAGGTTTTGACTCACATACTTTGGGCATGTTGCTAGGAGGGGCTATTCCTTGGAGAGGGACATGATGCTCAGAAAGGGTGGAGAGTCGACAAAGGAGAGGAAGACCCTCAACCAGGTGGATAGACACAGTGACTGGATGGTGAGGATGGCACAGGATAGGACGGGGTTCAGATCCATTGTTCACAGGTTGCTATGAGTTGTACTCAACTCATCAGCACCTAACAACAAAAACAACCCCTCTTTATTAAAGGATGGTCTCAGTCTTTGTATTACTTAAATCGAAAGAATGTCTTATAGTTCCAAATATTCTTTTATATGCTTTTAATGTTTAAAAAAATTAAATGCACTGGATTATTTAAGCTCAAAAGAGCAAACTATCCTGTTTTTTAAATAATTGCTTTTATCCTACACAGAGTGCATCTTTTTGTTTACTGGGCTTTTTAAGTTCAAAATTCTCCACCATTGCCACTGCATTAGAACAAACTCATAGGAAGACCCTCTATGAAATGGATTGATTCAGTAAGTCGAGTAATGGGGGTATGTCAGAGACAGTGAGACTGGCACAGGATATAGCAGGATTTAGGTCTGTTGTACGTAGGGTCGCTATGAGTCACAGGTGACTCGACGGCATATAACAACAACAACATTATCTCCTCTGGACCCCACAAGAATTTGTGTAAGAAGAAGGTATCAGGATCACATTAAAGGTAGAAAACTAAGGCTCAGAAAATCACTAACTCAGCCTAGTGAATTCAGCAATTGTCATTCACATTGTCTCTTCTACTCTATCACTTGTATCTCAGAAATGAGCAGTTTTATAAGTCTAATGTAAGAAACTATAACCCTGGTACCTTCACAGTGTTGTGAATTTCAGAGGTCATCAGGTTTCTGGCTGCTACAATCACATCCTGGCACTTCTTGTTAGCAAAATGAGAATTGATATTACGGGCATATTTCAGCAAATCAGTAGTGTCTCCTTTTAAAAACCTCATCTTCTTTAAGGTATTTTCAAATTCTTCAGTGGACTGAATGATCTGAGAGAAATGAAAGAAAAAAATGATATACATATATTCATTTTGATATTAAGATTTCAAACCCAATTGTGGTGTTAGCTTAAAAGTTGGCTTTTCTTTACGTTTGACATGGATTAAACCAATATAAATTAAAAAAAAATTAAAAAACTAAAAAAGTTGGCTTTTCTCACCATTGTATTACCCTCCTCTGGTCTCTGGCTACCTTAACTGTAGACACATAGTCATCACAAATCATCAACAGCTGTGGAACTAAGATAAGAAAGAGTAATTCTAACACTGAGCAGATCGACTTGAGGGCAACTGGAGTGAGACCATGGTCAAAGTGAAACCCTAGTGAGAAGACCCTAGTGATGATGGTAGAGACATTGCTGTGGAGAAATTGTGGCAAGAGGTAACCACAGGAGTCCTGAGATAAAGGCACAGTTAAAGGTTTTGTTGTTTTTGCTGGATGATTAAAGGAGAAGTTGACTTAAAACTGCTGAGGCAAATCTTGCTGGATGATTAACTGAATTAGAACTTTTACTAATTGAGGAATTGTATTTTGCTGTTAATCTGGGATGGGACTGCTTGACTAAACCCTGGACTTGCATTGGGTGATATTCTTTGCCTCCTCCACTCTCCAACTTACTCCCCTAGTAAGCCCCACCCTTTGCATCACAACTCTGAGTAAAGTCTGTGAGTCAACAACGAGTATCAAACCAAGTGACCGGTGGAAATAGGCACAGGAGCATGGGGAGAGAGGTGGCATGTCTGGCATAGCAGCTATGTATTTGCTGCTATGGATATTATTGATGGGGACACTTCTACTCCATGAAGGGGGCAGAAGTCAGAGGCGACCACCCTCACATTGCACTGGCTCCCAAGACACCAACGTATAGGAAAAAAACAAAGGTCAGCTGCTCTTCTAAGTTTTAGCACAATTAGTTACCAGGTATGAAAAATTACTTTTATTTCCAGTCTTAAAATTCATTAGGGAAATTATCTTCAACAGAAATTTCTAGCTTTACTTAGAAAAGCTGCAAAAATCTTTAAAAATAAACACACATTAGCATTCTAGAAAACACTAAAAAAGATGCAAAAAAATAAAATCTAGTGTTACAAGTAGCTGACCTAGTTGGTCCATGGGCACAGGAATGACAGAACAAGAAGTTCAAGGAGAAGAAGCAGAGTCTCAGCAAGATGGACTGATGAAGCAGCTGCAGCAACGGGCTCAAATGCAGCAACGATTGTGAGGAGACCACAAGAGCGGTGTTCCCACTCCCTTATACCAAGGATGGTTATGATTTGTAACCAACTCAACAGAACCTAGCCATAATAACCAAAATACTTAGTAAGAAAACCTAGTTCCCCAAAGGCAGACAGGAAACCAGGAGAGAAATGCTGTTATTAAGAATCTGTTTGCATTCCTTAAAGACATAACTAAAGAACAAAAGATCTCCAAGAAAAAGCTAAAGGTATCAATGGAAATGAACAGTCTTTTCAAACTTCCTGTGGTGCCTCTGCTCTTACCTCTTCATACTGCTGTAACTTGCTGCTATTTGTGGGAATAGAATAAACTAAACAGTTTTTAATGAGGCACTCTGACAAGTCCTCCCAGATCAGGTCACCAAGCATCTCGGCCAATGCCATCTGAGGGGGTTTTTCATTTTCTAGGTCAGCATCAAGAGGTAAATCTGAATTCAAAAGAAAACGTTTCAAACAAGAAACCATTAACAGTTGTGATATAGTGTTAAGTTTTCTAGAGTTTTTACATGTGAAGATGTTGGGGAAGGAAACAGCACAGATCATTCTACAGACAGCTCAGTTGACAGCGTGGGACAAAGCCTGACATAAAATTATTGTTATTTTCACCACTCAATTGAATTGTCTGCACTGTGTGATGCCTGTACTCTACAGCAATAAGATATAAAGCAATCTACATTATAATCATCGACTGATCTCATGATATGACAAGTACTAAGAAGTTTTACATTTCAAACTGAAACCAGTTCAGAATAAAATCCCAACTTTTTAATAAAGAATAAATAATGCTTTTTCATCTTAGCATAAGTTCTAAGTGTTTATTCATGTGCAACAGCAGTCTTCCATAAAAGAGTAAATCTAATGGCTGTTTATTAAACAATACTTTACTCTCTCTCACAATGTACCTTATGGCAGTTCGTTCAACACATTTTATAAGGCTCTGTTTAGAATGAAATCTCAAGAGGAGAAAATGGTTAAGGATTTGGCTACTAGCTGAAAGGTTAGCAGTTGGAATACATGCAGAGATACACAGGAACAAGGGTCTGGCCAGCTACTTTTGCAAAACACTGAAAACCCCACAGCGAGAGCTCTACTCTGAAACACACAGACAGGGTTGTTATGAATCAGAACCAACTCCACAACAACTGTTTTTCCCTTATATACTTAGATTACATTATGCTCTACTCGGTTCTTTAGAGTCACTATTAATCAATTAGGGAGCCCTGGAGGTATAGTCGTTAAAATGTTTAGCTGTTAACAGAAAGATTGGCAGTTGAAATATATCAGTTGCTCTGCTGGGGGTAGGGGGGGAGGTGGCAGTCTCCAGTAAAATGTAAACCCAATGGGCTTACTATTGTCAAGTCAATTCCAAATCATGGGGACTCTATAGGATAGAGCTGAATTGTCCCATAGGGTTTCTTAGGCTTTGTAACTTTATGACAAGATACTGTCCTCTTTCTCCCAGAGCAGCTGGTGAGTTCAAACCACTAACCCTTCACAGTTCGCAGTCAACACCTAACCTACACCACAAAGATTACAAGGTCTATAGGGCAATTCTACTCTGACCTTAAAGGCTGCTCTGAGTCTGAAAAGACTCAACAGCAAGTTAGGTTGTTTTTTAATCTTCAACTAAATAATAACACCAGTTAATGAATCAAGGAAAGAGAAAAGGAATCATAACAGGTATCAGGTGTTTTTTAACCCGGTTCTTAATACACCAAGGAAGAGCTCAGAAATAAGAACTTTAATCCACCAGATGCTCTGCTAGAGAAGAAGAAACAATCTCCTCCTGTACCAGTCAGATCTGATTTGAAGGTACACACAAAATAATAATAAAAAAACCCAAAACCCTTTAGAAGAAAGTGATATTATCTCAGAACTCTGAAAAAGTTTACAGTGTATAAAATCTAGTCCTGCATTGCCCAGTGTTGCCTTGGGAACCCACCAGAATGTTGTTATAAGACAAAGAGACTTGGCAACAGTGAATATGATTTTGTTTTTATAGAGGTTAGAATCCACTGTGGCTCCTCGGGCAGTCGGCTTTTGTAAAGATTTACTGCCTTGGAAATGCTATGGGGCTGTTAGACTTGGTCCTGTAGAATCACCATTAGTCAGGACAGCCTCAATGACTAAGTTTGGTCTGGTTTTTGTTATAGGGTTACTGAGCATAATTGTGTCCATGACAAAGAGTTTGGATTTGAGGTTTACTCTCATAAACACACACGCAAATTCTTTTCATTTCTAGTATTTTACATAAATTTATCACTGATCTAGTTAGTTACACAGATCAGTTCCACAGGAAAAATTTCTCAATGTACACTAGGGAGTTCTCACGGTGTAGTCCATAGCAAGTTGTGTTGCTAACCCAAAGTCTGAGCATCTTCAGAAGTTCAAATCTACCAGCAGCTCCATGGAAGATGGATATACAGTCTCTTCCCATTTAGATTTACAGCATCAGAAACAAAACGGAGGGTCACTGCAAGTCAGAACCAATTCTACAGAAGAGTGAGTTAAGTGTGCAATGTATTTATATGAATGCTTTATGCATACATACAGCCTGAGTTTGAAGGTTAGGATTTTGAAGCTCCGTCTCACATCCTTTGGGCATGTGGCCAGAAAGGACTGGTCCTTGGAGAAGGACATCATGCTCAGAAGGGTGGAGGGCCAGTGAAAGAGAGAAAGACCCTGGATGAGATGAACTGACACAGTAACTAAGGTAATGGGGTTAAGTGTGTCAGAATCAGTGAGACTGGCTCAGGACAGGGCAGGGTTCAGAGGTGCTGTACTTAGGGTTGCTCTGAGTCAAAGGCTACTCGATAGCACACAATAACAACACAGCCCGAGTTATCAGGATACTTATATACTTATATTTAATTAGCATTAAATTGAAAAAAAAAAGGTGTTTTTTTTTTAAATACAAAACAAAGGCATACTGGTGATATATGCCTTCCGACTGAATTGACTTAAGATGTAAAAGCCAGCAAGCAGCATCTATGGAAAAGTAAATTTTTTTTTAAAAAAAAAAAAAAGAAGACTGGATAAAGCACGTCAGAATTTTCACAATGCATGGAAATTGCTACTTGCTCAACAGAACACAAAGGCTGCTGTTTTGTGTAAATTTTTTTAAAAAGTGAACAATACTACAGCTTTGGTAACCCAATGGTGCCTTACTAGGAGTCCAAACTGACTGGGCAGTCATAGGCTTGGTTTTTATTTGGTTTTGGTGGTACAGTACATGTTGGACTATTAACCTAAAGGTTAGTGGTTCAAACCCACCAGCCACTCCTTGGAAGAAAGATGGGCAGCCTCCTCCCGTAAAACCTGATGGAGGGTCACCGTGAATAGAACTAGACTCCATCACATGCGAGTTGGGTTTGGGTCTATACCCAGAACACCTATAAGCAGAATACAGTATACTGTAAGAAAAATATAAAATAAATGGAATATATTCGCATGAGAGCAATAAGACAAAAAGAATTCAAGATTATATCATGTAAAAAGCCCCAAGGATGCATAAGAATGCTGGTGATAAAATTAAAAACAAAGAATAGCGACCATAAAGAATTTGAAAATCATTATGTATATTAATAATTATTCTATACAGTTCTAAACAGTAGAACTAACAAAAGTAGCAATCACAATGCAGTAAGTTTTGTAGAAATCTGTAAAAGAACTTGCTGTTTTGTACCAACAAGTTGCCTGTGACTCACAGTGACTCTATGTAGGATAGCTGTCCTATCCTAAGCCAGTCTCACTGTCTCCAACACTCCTATCCTCATTGTCCTAGTCACAGTGTCAATCCATTTCATCCAGGGTCTTCTTCTCCTGTGCTGTCCCTCCACCTTTCCAAGCATGATGTCCATGTCCAAGGACTGGTCCCTCCTGACCACGTGCCCAAAGTATGTGAGATGGAGCTTCAAAAAATCTTGCCTCCAAGGAACAGCCTTGTTTCACCCTCTCTGCAGGATAAACAGGTTTGTTCTCTTGGCAGTCCATGGTATGTTCAATACTTGTCTCCACCAGCACAATTTAAAGGCATCAATTCTGTCATCCTTAGTCATTGTCCAGCTCTCTGATGTATAGCAAGTAATTGCAAAGACCATGGTACCTTAGTCTCCTCATTGTTCTTTATCTTTTTAGAGAAGTCCCTGACAGCAGCTTTCCCCAGAGCAATTCATCTTTTGATTTCTTATTTACTGGTGCCAAGAGTGTTGACTGTGGATTCAAGTAAGCTGAAACTGTTAACAACCTCAATCTCTTCTCCATCTATCATGGTTACTACCCTAATTTAAAAAATGGACATTTTAGTAATATAATATAGTAAGGAGCTATTATTTTTTTAAAAAACTACCAAAAACAAAAACTTTCCCACTGCTCACAGTAATCCAGAGGAAAAGGGAATGCTTAAAAAGAAAATGTGTGCTCACTCAGAAAGCTCTAGTGGCTGTATGACCAATTGATGGAAATAATAGAGAAGATTCAGGTATTAGATATTTGGACCGCATCACCTCTTTGCTTCCTGCTAATCTCTGAATACTCTGTTTACAGCTTTGTTTCTAGCCAATCAAAATAAAATTGCATTTTTTCCTAAGTGACAATTCAACAACTCACTGCTGTCAAGTAGGAATTTACTCATATACAACCCTCCAGCATGCTTTCAGAGGCTGAAAATTACAGAAGAGATTGTTTCTCTTTCAACCCTGGTGGATTCAAACCACTGCTTTTGGGCTGGCAGTGCAAGTGCTTACTCCCTAGGTCACCAGAGTTCCCAAATGAAGGATCTGGAAACTAGAAAAACTGTCTTTCATTTCTGCACTCTTTGTGGCTCCTGTCAAAACTGGGGAGGGTGGGGAATCTTTGAATTCTCATATGAACAATTCACATATGCTAACCAATATAAAGACGGGGCCAGCAATACATACAAACAACAGCAGCGTTTCTTTGTTTCTTTTTTTTTATTTTCAATGCAAGAATGCTTGGTTTAACTATTCAACCAGACAACTGTGAAATGAAAAAGGAAGATAACTGAAGTAGACTAAACTAGCAGGAGTTGTTATGTAGAGCTGAGTGAAAGCAACTTATAGCTGACCCTCTAGTAGGGTTACAGGGGCTGTAAATGACATGGGAGGAGACAGCCGCTCTTTTGTCTCCAAAATAACAGTAATACTTTAAAATAAAACATTTGAAAACAACAACCAAAAAAAATAGATTTAAAGAATAAAGAAACTGGTCATTTCAAGTGTAAATATATAACTAGTAGGCTGAGTTAAAATATGCTTTATTTCCTATGTCAAGCCTAGTTTATCTGTAGGAAGTTAATGGGCATGTAGCTCATTAATGAGTATATAATTTATTCCCAATATATAAAACCGTACTTATGGGGGGTGGAGTAAAAAAAAACAAAACAAAACAAAAAAACAACAACCATAGTTATTTCAGATTCTTCAAAAATTAAAGGAAAAACCCCAAAATGTGATGTTACCATAAATCCAAGTAAGAGAAGTATACCATCGAATTCAAAATAATATCACAAGTAAAGAATCTAGGTTATTCTTGATGTTCTTACTTTTCAATGAAGAACAAAAATACGAAACAGAGTAAGAAATCAGAAGGTAATTACTTGCTTCCTGGCATAGCTTACTCACTTCAAGCCCCTATTCACTTAAACCATTCACATTTTTACCTTCTTTACAATAATGTTGTTGCTGCTGTTGATTGCCTTCGAGTCAAGCGACCCTATGAACAAAGGCCTGAAGCCCCTCTACAACTATCGACACTTATCCAAGTTCATAGAGTTTTTGAGTTTCCCGAGGCATATTGTTTAGGAAGTGGATGACACTCCTACTTCCAAACTACTGACTTTTAAAAACGGTATCTTAGGGGTACCATACCTAGAAGCTGTTTATGAAGCATTTCCAGTACCAGCTTGATCTTTACAAAAACGTCAGATGGTGATGGATATTCCAAGTTAGTTGTCACAGATTCAAAACGTAAGGTAACTACAGGTGGCTGGCTTTCTACCACAGCGTGCAGGGATGGACAAGATGCCAGAGGCTTAAGGATATAATTCAGTAGCATTTTACCTGAAACATTATAAGAACACTCATTAAAAGTTACAAGAAGAAATTTCCAGAAAATGTAAAAAAAAAACAACACAAACCACAAAACACACAACTCTTATAGTTTAACAATAAATACCCTGACATTTTAAACTGATCATTTAGCACGAGCAGGTTATTGTGATGAATTTTTCCAGATTATCTACAGATTTTTATTAAAGTTATTCTAATAAAATATACAGCAGCAACTAGTCTAAAGGAGGGGAAAGGAAGAATCCAAGCCCTCAAAAGGATATAATAATCACGCAATTTGTACTGATGGATCATGTGACCAAACCCTAGGTGTTGCTGATATGCTCTAAATAATATTTTAATCATCTCTTTCGATTCTTTTAACTGGCCGCCTTCTTCTAATTGGGCCTTCTGACACTTCACATAAATAAAAGAAGTTATTTGCTTACCAAATGACTTCAGTTTGGTGTTTAGCTCCCCAAGAATAGAAAACGCCAAGAGAACAGAACTCATAGATAGTGCAGGGCTCTTTTCCTCCTTCTGAGATTGTTCTGTGCATAAATGAAGTTCTGTTTGTAGGTGAAATTCCAAGCTATTGGTATCTAAGAAAAAGAAGGCCAAGGCATCAGCTATCTCAGCCAGACAAGGCGTGGCCGCTCTCTGCAAGAGCTCCTTCTCTAGAGTGGTTCCTAAATACACAGTTTTATTACACAATACTTCTAAGGCCACTACATATTAAATACTCCCTGTACGGCATCGTTTTACAAGTAATAACTTTCTTTTTAAGTTCCAAAAAACCCAAACCAAGTACAAAAGCAAGATGATGTGCCCACAAGAAATGGTCACTAAGTGGGTACACAATGACTAAATGACAGCAAACAATGTGAAGCCTTCATTTCACTGAAGACTTCCTTTCTGTTTTTCTTACCAAGAAATGAGAATTGTCTTGCAAACAAATTTACAAGTAAGATATAGCATTACAAAGACTTCAGCATACTTACCATCTTCTCTTAATTTGAAAGTCAATTTAGGATAAAGTCATTTTGTCGATTACATTTTTCAAAGTATATATATATAATCTGAAGATCAAAGTGGATATTGGAAAAGGAACATGAATGAGACTATAAGGTTTCCCTTGACACAAACACAATTTCAAGATTCAACGTTGGAAAATATCTTAAGTGCAACCAAAACACCAAAAAAGGTTCACACGCAAAGGTGAACATTGGGCTGAGAGGCTACAGCAAATATCAAAGTTAAGACCAAAGGAACCCTATTTCTACACCTTTCAAAGAATACTTTTTCCCAAAATTTTGTCCCTATTTTTGTTACATGAACTGAAAAAAGCCAAAACAGGCCAAATTCCTCCTTTAACTACAGATACACTGACATTGAGCTGAGCTTTTGGCTAATTCACAGAATTAAGGTTGGGGGGAAAAAAACTCAACAAAATCAACATTTTTACATTAAATACTTTTTACAGATTTTAAATAATCTCAACCATCTCTATACTTCTCTTTTTCCTTCAGCAGGAGAAAGACTGGCTAAATAGCTACTTTAAGATTTCTAGTTATGGTAACTGGTGGGGTAATACAGTGGAAATCAAAGGTGGCCTTAAGCTGCCACATCACATGGGCCCCACCCACCCAAATCCCTTTTCCACACTCTTTGAAGAAAAGGGACACTGAGTTGGCCCTAACAAGGCATGTTGTTTAACGTGATAACTCAACACAGATTTGGGAGAGTAGCGAGTGAAACCTCCTCATCTGCCAATCTAAAATATTCAGTATATATTCAGAGGCCAAACCGGTTCAGGCTGAGTAAGCAAAGCATTCCCTGAGGTCAGCAGCACCTTTTGATGGTGGGACCTTCCACACAATCAGCTTCTGCCACTCTTCTCCAAGGTGATAAAGGATGTTCTGTTTCTGGATTGTGAGCTCCATGCTGAGCGATTTCAACAGTTTTAAATCAAAACATTTCCTGGATTTTAATAACTTCCAGCATTTCTGTGCCTGGTAGTGAAATGGAATCACTGTTAAACATCCCATCTGGACTCAGGGCATATAGAATATACCTGTATAATGGCAAGGAACATAGGGGACACAAAATTTATTGAAAATGAGAACAGTGGTTCTTGCTCATGCTTTGGGGACAGGATTCAGTACCTCTTCCAGATGCTTAGCAGCAGTGACGTACTTCTTCTCTGCTATTGCACAGTTATAGTCTTCAATAGCTGTGGAAAACTGAAGAGAGAAAGAATTCAAGTTGTCAAGGATTTCATTTCATACATTCTATTTTTCCCAAGTGTGTTCTATGTTTGTATTTAAAATGTAGTGGGAGAGAAAGAAAACAAAAACCTCTCAACATATAATCAGGGGATACCCACTGAAGAACGTGATGAGCTGAAAACAAACCAGTAACTTCCTCATCTCCAAAACACTAATGTCTGAGTTGACTGACCTCCTGTAGCTGTTTAAGCAGATTTAGGACTAATGAGTCTCTTTGCAGCTGGTGCTTCAAATCTGTAAATTCAGCAGTTGATACGTGAAGATCCCGGCGTACCTAATTTACACATCAGAGAGAGATATTTAAACTATATCGTATCTAAATAAAATATTATAAACAAATAAAACATTGTAAGCACAATAAGACATTTTTAGCTACTTGGTAAGATTATTGGGACAATGTATATCACACTGAAATCTAAGTGCTGGTAACGAGGTCCGTAGTGGGAGGGCTGGCCCACAACCTTTTCTCCTCTGCAGGAATACTTACACCGGTTAACAAATCTGCTGTGCTCGTCTCACCATTCATTCCAGATGCAGGTAGCTACCTTTCATCGGAGAATTTACCTACCTAGATCTTTTTCATGTTGAATCAGAAGTCACCCCTCACTCTATCCCAACTAATCTCTCATTTATCTCCATAACTCTGCAGCGCTGTCCCCTAAAACACTCTCCCCTTCTCCTTCTGCCTGATTGTTTATCATTTCGGGTCTTGTTTGAACGTTATTTCCCACATGAAGCCATTCTTAGCTACACATCTCCATCTGGATTGCTCCTCTTGTATCACAGCTCTTGTGCCCAGAGGTAAGGAGGCATGTTGCAATCCTGAAGGTACACAGTTTGAATCCACCAGCTGCTTCGCAGAAGGATGAACATTCTCCTCCTGTGCAATTTACTGCCTCTGAAAACCCACTAGAGGGTCAGCTCGCACCACCACCACCACCACCACCACCACATTGGTTACGAGACACACTCTTTGAAATGTAAATTCCTGACCTAGTGAGCGAGCAACTACCAGTATTTTGGACACTTCAAGAATACACCAAATGAATGATTAAATCTCCTTATGTCATTTACCTGTTGACTCTTAATTCCCCTTCCTGAAATCTGAATCTTTCACCCATATGACAAGTTTTCAAATTTTGAAGGTGTCTATTTTCAAGGCTAAAAGTTTCTACCATTATTCTTCAGATAGACTGGCAGATATGCCTGGACTTTCTCACCTGGACCAGCTGTTTTCAAAATAGAACAGCTACACAACAATCATCGGCCATCATCTAGAGCTGAGAGAGTATTTGGTCAGCGTAAGGCACAAGGAGCTCATTACTTTCCTTCTTCCAGATACTTTTCTTTCTAATGTTGTGTGCCACTGAGTGAAAACCAACTCATAGCTGATCCTTAAGTAGGTTTTCAAAGGCAGTAAATTGCACAGGGGATTGCCCACCCTTCTTCTGTGAAGAAGCTGGTGAATTTGAACCTCAAGCCTTTGGAATTGCAATTTGATCAGATAAACAACTAAGTACAAATATAGTTCAGAAATATTGCTTGAATTGTTAGGGCTGTGTTGATTTTTTTACTAAAATTCATTACTAAGATTGATTTTTACTACAAATCTCTCGTCAAGATAGTTGGTGATTGGGCTGTGAGATTAATTTTCTGAGTAACCAGCGATTTCCCCATTTGTGGCACAAGTTTTTTAAAAAAACAACACTCTAGAAAAGCACATATGTACATTTCCTCTTTTCATAACACACATAGAACAGACTTGATGCCCTTTCTTGGTATTAAGGATTCTGAGAATACCTCAGATTATTACTGTGGACTCATTAATATTCAAATCATTTTAACAGTAATAAGTTCTGAGTAATAATGCAGATACTGATATAAAGGACACCAAAGACTGGAATTTGTTTAAACCTCCCAAATCAGCCTGTATTTCTTATCTTTTCTAAAAGAAGCCTATAGAAGAAAAATACTAGAGACATATGTGAAAATGTTTTTTTGTTTTAATTTTTTTTTAATAATTTTAATGAACATTTACAGAGAATTGGGATTTCCATTCATTCATTGCTGCACTTCTCTGCCCAGCCCTCTCCCCCCGCCCCCCAGTTCACTCCTCTCTTTCAAAAGTAAAAGAAAGACTCCTTCCCTGGTACACAATCCCCCCGCACCCTTCCCACTGCCCCAAGTACATTCCATTGTGCAACCTTAATTGTGGATTCTTGTGATAACCATAATACCCTATCATACATCACTTTTATTCAGTCCCTCATCTTTTTCAGTGCAATATACACAATTTATCCAGTTATTCTCAGTCTTACCCCCACCCTGATATCAGTCCCATTTTATAGCAGTGGCACCATGCAATATTTGTCCTTTTGCAACTGAGATATTTCACTCAGCATAATGTCCTCCAGGGTCACCCATTTTGAATAATATTGCATGAGTTCCTTGTTTTTCAATGCAGCATAGTATTCCATTGTGTGAATATACCACACCTTCTGTATCCATTCGTTTGTTGATGGGCACCTGCGTTGTTTCCAACTCCTTGCTATTGTGAACAGAGCTGCGATAAACATGGGTGTGCATATATCTGCTTGGATGTCAGTTATGGTCTGTTTGGGATATATTCCCAGTAGTGGAATTGCTGGGTCAAATGGTATCTCTATTTGCAACTTTTTGAGAAAGCGCCATACCGCCTTCCACAGTAGTTGCACCATTTTACATTCCCACCAACAGTGAATCAGGGTTCCAGTTTCTCCACAACCTCGCCAGCATTTGTTGCTTGCTGTTCTGTTAAATTTTGTTATTCTGACTGGGGTGAGATGATATCTCATAGTTGTTTTAATTTGCATCTCTCCTAGAGCTAGGGATTTTGAACATTTCTTCATGTGCTTGTTGGCCATCTGAATGTCTTCTTTGGTGAGGTGTCTATTCATATCCTGTGCCCATTTTTCAATTGGATTATCTACCTTTATCTTGTTGTGGTGGAAAATGTTTTTAAAATAATTCAATGACTATGGGAATCCCACAACACTTGATCGTGCTAATGCACAACCTATACTTGGACCAAGAGGCAGTCGTCAGAACAGAGCAGGGAAAAACTGCATGGTTCAAAATTGGGAAAGGCATACACCAGGGATGTGTCCTGTCTCCATACCTTTACAAACTGTATGCAGAACAGATTATCCGGGAGATAGGGCTCTATGAGGAAAAATGTGGTATCAGGATTGGTGGAAGATCTATCAACAATCTGCGTTATGCTGATAACATGACTCTGCTTGCTGAAACTGAGGAGGACCTGAAGAGCTTGCTGCAGAGGGTCAAGGACTGCAGCCTTCGATATAGATTGAGGCTCAATGTCAAGGAGATAAAGATTCTCAACACTGGACCAGTTGGCGGCATCAGGATGGATGGTGAAGAGACAGATTGTTTACAGCTTTAGTTTGCTTGACTCCACAGTCAACACTCTTGGCACCAGTAGCCAGGAAATTAAAAGATGTATTGCGATGGGAAAGTCTGCTGTTAGGGACCTCTCCAAAGTACTGAAGAACAATGATGCCTCTCTGGAGACTAAGGTGCGTCTGATACAGGCCATGGTCTTCACAATCACTTGTTATGCATCAGAGAGTTGGACAATGACTAGGAAGGATAGAAGGAGAATTGATGCCTTTGAGCTGTGGAGCTGGAGAAGAGTATTGAGTGTACCATGGACTGCTAAGAAAACAAACTGATTTCATACTGGAGAGGGTTAAACCTGTTGGCTCCTTGGAGGCAAGGATTCTGAGGTTTCATCTAACACACTTTGGACATGTTGTAAAGAGGGACTGGTCCTTGGAAAGGGACATCATGCTTGAGAGGGTGGAGGGACAGCGCAGGAAAGGAAGGCCCTCTATGAGGCGGATTGATTCAGTGACTGGGGTAATCGGGATACATGTGTCCGAGACAGTGTGACTGGCACAGAACAGAGTTTAGGGCTGTTTTACATAGGGTTACTATGAGTCACAAGCGACTTGATGGCACCTAACAACAACAAAAACAACATTTCTATCACTGTGTTACATGACATGTCTTGGATCAGGTGTACCTTAGTTTTTAAACTGACATCATTGCTCTCTAACACTTTGGAGACATCTCTGATTTTCCCTTTGTGACACATTTTTTGATCTCTTGACTGCTAGAATCAAGAGTATTGATAGGGATCCAAGTAAGAAAAAATTGTTGACAATTTCAATCTTTTCTTCATCTATTATGATGTTGTCTATTGGCCCAGTGAGGATTTTTGGTTGAGGTTAAGATGTAATCCATATGTGTTCAAAAAATAATTCAGGATTTCAGTTGCTTGGTCTTCATGTAATAAATTCATAATAGATCTTATTATAAAATATTGAATGTTACAAATCGTTCTAAAGCTTATTTTATGTTCATTCTTTTTGTGTAATTGGCTTTAAATATAAGTTTCAATTTTGTCCATTTTTAGAATGTAAAACATAGGATGTCAAAACAAGATTTTTGCCAAATCTAAGAACGGTCCAAAAAGAATATAAATGATTAGACATTATATGTATGCCAACATTCTAGGACAAGATGCATTGCAAAGTGGACTGGAAGAAAACGGAGGAAGGAGGGAAGAAAATGTGCCACAGTGAATCAATAATTTAAAAAAATTTAAAAAACCAAAGATTTTTGTCAAATCTACTTTTACAAATTCAAATCAGTTGCAGTGTAGAACAGTTTGAAATATCAGTGAAGTTGGGGGCAAGGGAAGTGTCAATGAATGTACTGTGTGACAAGTTTAAAA